AAAAAGGTAGTATTGTCTTTTTAACACAAACATGTTTTGTAATTGTTTTAGTCACTTAAGGGTGTTTTTGCCTTTTTATAGCAAATGGGTCATTTTGGGATTATTGTCAATTGGAAAAGTCAAAGTGGAATTAAGGACCTTTGACTAGGTCATTTTCACAAGTACCCCAGTTTTGCAGAAAGAGGGAACGAAAACTGCACACAAAATAATAATAGGGAATTGATAGAATACAACGCGATAGTCCGGTTTTAGAATATGCTACTTATACAATGGATAAGCAATATCACACGATAACATCACGTACATCTATTTTAAAAATTGTTAAAAATTATTTTTTAAATCAACTACCTGAACTTTAACAACATCAAGATTGTCAACAAGACTTGTACAAATAGTTCAATTCCTAGTTTTGTAAGTGCACGAATCGATAAGTTTTAACGCTATCAACATCCACATGCTTACGATTGAACGCATTTTCTTGTACTCGTGTTGAATCGCCATTGGAGGCAGAGAAAGTAAATAAGATTAATTTACTTTGTCAGAAGAAAAATGTTGACAGATATGTATGTTGTGATTGATTATAAAAGTTGACTATATTTTAAATTAAAACAATAATAATTATGTTGCATTATTAAATGGATTATAAATTTTATTTTATGATTGATGCAGAGATACTTTCTATTTAACTTCGAAAAAGTAACTACGAAAATAGATAAACATCAAGAAAAAACGCTGTGTGGACAAATAAATTTTATTTTTCCTTCAATTACCTATTTATTGTTTCCAAATATAGTACTTTTTATATAAAACTAGGTGTAAGCAACGTGCAATGCACGTTTGCTTAGTTTATATTTAATATTTTTGTTTAATAATTAATTTGTTATTAATAAAGATGTAATTTTTTTTGGTTAATTAAGGGCGTGTCTGGGCGCGCTGCAAGGAGGGAGGAAAATTGATTATGTTACCGTTTTTTTTCAAACCTACAGCCCTACAGTGAGAGAATTGGTCCAAAATTGCGGCTCCCAACAACATGAATTGTGTTGCCAACGGCTTGATTTCTGCTGAAAAGCAGAAACAGACACCCTATAAATAATTAATGATGTAATGTTTATGTAATTGATAAATAATTAGATGTGTGATTTTGATATTGTGATATAGGTTGGTGAGATTGAAGAAAATAAGCAAAAGTAGACAAATTTGGAGAAATGGCTAAATTGTAAGAGATCCAAAGTTCGGGGGATAAAATGTAAATACTTGAAAGTTGTGCCGAATTTCACGATGAATATTTGAGAGTGCTCGGAGTCAATTGGATAAAGGAAGATGTCAAGGGGATCAAATTTAGTCAAAAGATGATCACAAATCAATTTCCAACCGAAAAGTTATGCTCCGGTGTTTTAGTCTCATATTGAGACCTATTTTTGGCATAGGAAGTGATCGAATTGGAGAATGATGTCTGAATTAAAGTTGTAGCCAGATGAGTTAGCTTTCCAACGCATTTTGCATCGCCTCAATAGGATATCGGAAATTGATGTTATGATGTAAGTTGGTGAAATTGAAGAAAATAAGCAAAAAGTTAACAAATTTGGAGAAATGACTAAATTGTAAAGGATCCAAAGTTCGGGGATTAAAATGTAAATACTTAAAAGTTGTGCCGAATCTCACGATGAATATTTGAGAGTGCTCGGAGTCAATTGAATAAAGGAAGACGTCGAGATGATCAAATTTAGTCAAAAGATGATCACAAATCAATTACCAACCGAAAAGTTATGCTCCGGTGTTTTAGTCTCATATTGAGACCTATTTTTGGCATAGAAAGTGATCTAATTGAAGAATGATGTCTGAATTAAAGTTGTAGCCAGATGAGTTAGCTTTCCAACGCATTTTGGATCGCCTCAATAGGATATCGGAATACAAAGTTATGATAAAAAACTGAAGGAATGCGCAGCTGCTTGTTTAAAACAAGAAATTCCGTTACATAGTCCGTTATATTGAGACCTATTTTTGGCATATAAAGTGGTCGAATTGGAGAATGATGTCTGAAACAAAGTTGTAAGAAAATGAGTTAGATTTCCAACGCATTTTGAATTGCCTCAATCGGATATCGGAATACAAAGTTATGATAAAAACACTGAAGGAAGGTGCAGCTGTCTGTTTAAAACAAGAAATTCCGTTACATAGTCCGTTATATTGAGACCTATTTTTGGCATATAAAGTGGTCGAATTGGAGAATGATGTCTGAACCAAAGTTGTAACCAAATGAGATAAATAGTTCGTTATATTGAGAAATATTTTAGTCATAGAAAGTTATTTAATTTTAAAATGATGTCTGAATCAAAGTTTTAGCCAGATGGGTTAGCTTTCCAACGCATTTTGAATCGCCTCAATCGAACATCGAAATGCAAAGTTATGATAAAAATACTGAAAAAAGGTGCAGCTGCCTGTTTAAAACAAGAAATTCCGTTACATAATCCGTTAAAACAACAAATTCTGTTAAATAGGCACTTTTTATATAGAGAAAGATATAATCTTAATTAAGATCAAGACCTAACTCAAATGATAAGGGCAAAATCTTATAAGTCAGTAACTTGGATTCGATCAAGACCAAAAAATGATAAGAACAATATATGTATATAAGCGGTTACAAAGCGGACTTCTGGCTGTTGGATTGATGAACTTATGTTTATTATATTGGCTGCCTCTGAATTGTTTTCAGACAGTTAACAAGGATTAGTGTGTGGCTTAGGCATTTTTGTGTGTTAGGGTTTTCCCTCGACTCTATTCATCTTCCCTTGTAATCTTTGAGAGTTATTTTGTTATGTACTTTAGGTGCGTTTGATTGTGAGCGTGAAATTTGCATGAAAATAAAATAAATTATAAACAATTCAATTGCCTAGAATTTATTTTTATGAAAATTATTAATTAAGGGTGTGTTTAATTTCATTTATTTTCCATGAAAAGTGTCAGTTTTTTTATCCAAATTCCTACTTTGAAGTATTTGATTGCTATTTTTTTCTATAAAAAATATTTTTCAACTTTTAAAAATATGTCTAATTTTCCTTGTTTTTAAAGAAAACATTTTCTTTGGAGGGAGTATGTTTTTATTTTCCTCGAAACAAGGAAAATATTTTTTTTCTAGGATATATTTTCCATGCCAATGATTTAGTTTTCAATTTAGAAAATATTATATTTTTCTATTTTTTATTGGTGAATAGATGAGAGAGAGGGAATAAATGAAAAATAGGGTGAATTACTTGGAAAAGAAAAATCACCCCTCCCTAAATAAAATGTTTTCTTTGTTTTTGATGAAAATATGATCACATGACCAAAAGCTGAAAAATATTTTATATGAAAAAAAATGTCAATCAAACACCCAAAAAATATGAATTTATGTGGAAAAATGATATTTTTCATGAAAAATAAAGTCAATCAAGCACACTCCATGATTTACTGTGGTGAATCATTTGAGTGATGCTAGAGAAAACACTGAAAAAAATATGTGATTTCTTCGAACATTTGTAATGTATTGTCCTTGGTTGATTTTAGTGGATCTCGATCAAAATCTAATTGTAGATGCTCAACGTTATGATTAGGTTTTTGGTTGAACATCCGGGCCTTTTGGGTTGAAAATATCATTGTGTTTTTGAACTTTTATTTTTCTGCAATTTACGGTTTTGCAAACAATTTTTTAGTTTAATTGTTTTTACAAACAAAGTTTGGGACCAACAAAAAGCTTTTTCAAGTGTTACGCATTATTATTCAATGTAGGGTTGGACATGATCCAATTTGATTTAGTTCTGAAGAGAATCGAACCGAACCAAAATTTTCGAGTATTTAATAAATGGAATCGTCGGGTCCAACCGTCCAAATATAATTATGGATCCGTTCGGGTTCGATTCGGTTCGATTCGGTTCGATTATGTTCGGTTCCGTACCATAATT